TCAACACACACCGAGACAGATCATCCTCCCAGTTCCACTTCACCCCTTCGCTTCTACCCAATTCCCACCGCCACAACCAGAACTACCACTTTGCAAGATGTCGCCACCCAAACTCCTCCACCTTCAGAATCCATTCTGGCCAACCCACTTCCACCACTTCTCATGCACGAATCCCAACAGACCACTCCTCGAGCAACCCCCCGAGCAACCACCCACCACCGTCACATCCAGACGGACATCCACGCCATCGTCCAGCTCCCTTCTTTTGCCGGCCTCATACCCACAGCAGACAGCAACCAATCAGCAACCTCCCCTCCCACAGCCAGCAGTACTCTTCCCACAGCATCCCCCAATCCCACATCAGCCACCAACAAACAACCACACGATCGATGGCAATACGTCAACCTCATCCCCACACCTACTGTCACTTTGCCGGAACAGCCCCACACTCCACCTACATTTCCATCCCCCATCGGCGGCACACCACGCAACAGGCGTTCCAAGACACCTCCTCGCACCACTACCCCCACCCGCACCCGCCAGCCGGATCCACGCACAGGCTCCCCGACACCCTACAGCAGCGCCTCCGGCATCAACCGCCATTCCACCACTACAGTCCACCCGCTTCCAAAGCGACCTCCACCATCTCTTTCTCAAGCCTTACAGCATCATTCTACCACCGAACCCCTTCAGCCTGTCCCCCCGGCAACTGGCTGGCCGTGCTTTCAAGGCGGATCTTATACGCCAGCACCTTCCGTGGCACCACCAACAGCCGCTCCCACGCCCACGCACCCATGGCCAGCACATTATTCCCTTCCAACACAGCAACCCACCCCAGTTATCCCACCACAGACTGGCTCCTCCGCCTTGAGTCCGCCACCCCCAGTGGTCACGCTCCGCCCATCCACGACCTGGGTGGATGCGCAGGGGCGCCCCCTGCCGCTATCACAACAGGACTATGACCCAGTTACCGACCCGTGGCATGCAGACAACCATTGATCACGCAGCTGCAGCCTCTGAGGCGCCTGTCATGATTTCACCGAGGATGATTCATACAACACCTTTTCCTACCCTCACTCCCTCCACGGTTTTCCTATGTAGGCTTGGTTTTACCACAGCTTTCTAACAACATGCCCACCATCATCTTCGGGCATTCGCCCAGCTTGCTCCGCAGACGAACACGTTCAGTTTCACCTCGCACAACGAAAAACAGCGCGCTTCAGTGGACAGTCTGATACTCAACATGTTTTTCGGATCCACACGGACAACTTCTCTGGGTTTTTTGCGGCATTTCTGTGTTCTCCGCGGTTTCGGGGTTTTCCTCTTTTGACCCCCTGTTTCCGACAGCATGACTGTTTTAACGCCACCATTGCCCCCTCATTTGACTTTCCTACACCTGTTTTCGCATGTTCAGCTTGCTCAAATCAACAACCGGTGCTCCACGCCCACGATCCAGTGATACTTCGCCCAGCCACCATGGACGCGCAGTGGCAGCAATACTACTGGAATCAGTATTTGATGCAGCAACATCATCAGCAGCTCACCAACCCAGATACCACAACTTCTCCTCCCACCACCGCACACCACGCCTACAGCCCCACAGGCACCTACGGCCCACTCACTCACGCACTTCGTACACATCACGTCCACCACTCCAACCCATATGTGACTCCACCGTACACACCGCCATCGCAGCATACACCCCCACCCCAGGCATCCACCTCACAGCCGGAGTTTCCACCTCCGCCACCGCCACCCCTGCCAACGGCCGAACCCGTTACTCCACCACCATCGACTTTCCAACACAGCCCACCGCCACCACCCACCACACGTGGCAACACAGCGCCTGCCCCACCGCCCCCACACATCCCATCTCCCACACCACCTGTTCCCGACTCCTGGAACCCAACCGAGCAACATTGGGACTCCAACACCCTGCACGGCCACCAACTACATCGTACAATTCAACCCACCCAGTGGTCTCGAAAAGCAGGAGTGGCCGGCCTCCCCACCTTTGAGGTTTTCCCGTGGCAATTGGCTTACCACGGTACCTCCGAGTTCACCGCCCGTACCCTGAGCAACGGCAAATTCACAGGTTTCATTGCCACCAGAAGCATAGCGGAGTCGGTCTTCGTGACCCATTTTCTCCAACAACTCCGCGAGAACCGCCTTGACCTTGACGGCATCGCGGAGGCTCTCCACACTCAACAGAGCACAGACATTCCCAACAAAACTACCCATGCCACGCTCCCCTCATCAAACTGCTTATCGACCAACTGCAAACCCACTCTCCAGCACCTGCGGAAGGCTCCGCCCTACGCGCCCTCAAAAACACCAACGACGAACTGGCTCGTGCACGTCAGAAACTCCACGACCTGGGCAACCCACTCACACCAGTCAAGAACACCAGCCGATCTTCCGCACCAGCCGCCCCTTCTCACGCACCCACGCCACCACCACCGAAACCACCAGCCATCACCGACGTCTTGCAACCACCACACCCCACACTGCAAGACGATATCCCCGAAGGCTGGAACCACCCAGAGATCCAACAATGGGTCACTACCTTCGACCCCACCATCCAAGAAGCTGCGACGGAAGTCATCCGACTGCTGCAAACAAGCAAAGTCACCACGCAGCAGCTAAAAGAAGCAGCCACCAAGTATGGCCTACCCCTCAACCGGGTCAACCGACTCCCCATTCGCAGCCTACAACAGCTGGTGGGAGTCGGAGCAGCCATTGGTTGCTGACTCGCCATCTTGGCCCAGCAGCAACCCAGCCACACCAACCTCACCCAACTCTTCCACCTGCACCGAGCACTTTCCATGCTCATCCACCGCACCCAATACATCGACCGCGCCGAGGCCATCTTTGCAACCGGCCTCATCCACATCACCCTCCTTTTCGCATACCCGTCCAACACCCGTCGCTCACAACAATGGCGCAACCGTCTCCGCCAGCTCCACATTTTACCCCACACCTACCACTACCACAACTTCCTCTCTTCCAATTCCGTCTACATCAAGCTCCACTTCAATCCTGACCAGCCCCAACGCTGCTACCATCAACATGGCCACTTCTACGTTGGCTCCACAGCTATCGGCATCCCCCACCGCGAGCACAATCGCCGCGCCAAACTAAAACAACTCCAAAATAACATTCCCATTTCTGCAGAACTCTCCTTACGTTATTGGCATTCACACAACAACATCCACCACTACACCACTATTCAACTCACCTCCCATGACACATACGACCAAGCCTGGATCCAAGAGCACCACTACATCGCCAACTGGATGCCTTCACTCAACTGGCCTTTCATTTCCCACCACCTCAAACTCAAAGCTCAGGGATGGCAGTTCGCGAAACACAGAGCCCACTTCTACTCCAGATTAGCCACCCACAAACGACTTTTCCGACGCCTTCGACAACGCCAGTACACCCTCAGAGAACCACACCTCTACACTTCCACTAAGCATCACGCCCTCCAACTTCTTCGCAACCTTACCAAACACACCGCAGCCTCTTTTGAGGCAGCAAAACAGCTAAGAAGCGGCCGCCACACGGACCTCGAGGTGTATGCAATCCGGCGTATGGCCGCAAACTTGGAAGAACCTGGCCGCAGCCGAGCTCTTCACATCCTCAACAAAGCCTTGATCTACCGCAACCTCACGCCACCAAAACCAAACATCCCATTGACAGTGCCCTTCTTGGCCCATGACGACTTTACCAAGCACTGCCAACAATGGCTTCGTACTACCATCCAGCAGCACAAGCATTTCACCATTCCCCTCCACCTCCCCTCCCACAGACTGAGGGAAGCCGCCCACAAAACCCTCCGCTCCCACCTGCACAACCATCGCACATGGGAGGACACCCTCCACTCCCCGCCAGATCCAGCAGACCTCCCCTGTGCATGCGATCATCTTCGCACCCTCCTGCAGGATCCCGATACCCCTACCATCAACGGCCACTACATCCTTACACTTGACCAACTCCAACTCCCTACACACCTCAGCATTTTCCTCAACGCCAATATGAACAGTACCTATTACCCAAGCAAAGCTCGTTACTTCCTCATTTTCAAGACGGCCTATACCAAATGGCTCAAACTACAAGGGCTTCCACCATCCCTAGTTCAACACCTACAGCCTTTCCTTGAGCACCAATGGCGCCTTCACAACACACACCTCAAGCAGCAACCCCGTTTTACGGCCCGCCTGCTTCGTCAACTCCAAGAACATTTGGGTAAACACACATTACTCCACCATGCCGATCATGAGCTCCAACAACTGAGACTGTTTTGCCCTCGCCAATACTTCACTGGCGCCTTGAACACTTGGCAATCCCCTGAACTATTTGAACCACTTCCCTACATCACTGCCGCCAACATCCATGACCACCTGGCCGCCACCGTCCCCCCCATCCTGCGCACCCGCTACAAGTGGGGCTTTCGAAAAGACTTCAACATCCCCTACGGTGTTGTCCACCTTAAAGAGAAGAAGCACTGGCAAAAAGGCCGTACAATTATATCCTACTTCCAATCACTCAGCGGCAACTTGCTACGCATCACCAGCCGTGCCCTCGACATTATCCTCCAACACCTCTACCCTCAGCATCCAGGCCAAATGTCCATTCCTCAGCTTTGGCACCACTTTCACAGTTACCTCACCCAAACCCCACCCGACATCTTACTACACGCCACCAACGATGACCTGGTCGGCTTTTTCAACTCCGTCC